AGAGTTTACAGGGCAGAGTGCCAGAGATGAAAGAGCTGCATAGAGAGAGAATTCTGAAGATTTTCAGAGGGTGTCCCTCAAGTGTTCAATTGAGTTGTGATCAATGCACACACTGGAGCCCTGATTCCGTCACTTTCCATCAATCAACATTCCTGCTTTGAGCACCTACTGTGAACCGAGCCAGAGTCAGGGCAGATCTCTTCCTGCCATTGAGGGGCGCCCAGTCTAAAGGGGGAAAGAAACCACATGCCCCTAAAGGGCACACACTGCCTGCAGAGTCTCAGCTGAGAGCCAGATTGATGTTCAGAAGCAGATGTGGAGATAAAAGAGAGCCTATTGCTCTGACCTGCCTCTCCCCTCTCTCACCCCAGCACCAGGCAGATGCAGGGGCACTGTGATGTGGGAGAGACAAACCAGCTCACCAGGGCCATGCCTGCAGGGTGGGGCCTATGTGAAGCCTACCCTCCCTGGGATGGGGAGAGAACCTCGGGCCAGGAAATGGGAGCTGGTACCCAACCCATCCCTGTTTGGCCTCTGTATCATATGATCTTAGAGGGCCCTGTCCTTTCTGGGTTTCCTCATCTGACCCCGGGGATGCTCTATGAGCAACTTTTGCTCTGAGGGAAGTTGCTGCCAGCTGAGTTTCTGAGCCTCAGTTTCCCTTGTCTATAAAGGGGACAATAATTCCCACCCAGCCTTGGGAGAACCTCCCAATTAAGAGATTGTTCTTTTCCTCCAGCCACTGCCAAAAGGGGATAAAGAAGCACCAGGGGTTTGTGCAGAGGTGAGGGGACAGACAACGGTTGACCGTCTAAGGCAACATGGGGTGAGGCAAGTGCTTTCCTCCAATCCAGCTTCTTTTATCTCTCCCCAACTTATCCACCCCACTGCATCCCAGGCTATTTTGTTAGTTCCCAGAATTCCCACGTTCCTCACTCAGTTCTGCAGTTTCTCCAGTGATGACTTGGGAATGGAGAGTGGCAGCCATCTTGGCAGGAATGGCAGCACCTCCCATTTTCACACCTGTCTCGCCAATCTTCACACCGCATGGTGTACTCTGCTTCCAATACGAACCCATCCTTGTAAGCCCTCAGAGAACAGTCTGGCCACAGCATCTATATGCAGATTTCACTCACACACAGCTCCTTAGAAGTAGAGTGGGCTTCCCTCCCAGCACACCCTCCTGAAGGCCTCCAGAGGGGCCTCATCATCCCAGTTTGTAGACAGGAAAACTGAGACCAGAGAGGAAGAATCCGAGTGCTCATCCTGCCATGAGAGAAGAGGAAGTCCAGGAGGGATGTGGTGTGTGGTGACAACTCTTGCTTTGTGTTTCAGGAGAGAGAACATAGCAGTGCGAATTTCTGTCAGATAGGAGGCTTCCCCTCACGTTCTTGATCCTCCCCAAACCAACCATGCCGCCTCCTCCCCCTCCCTCCTCTCATTCTCCCGTTGACCCACTCTCCCTTCTCTTCCAGGCACTGTCCAGAGTCTAGCCTTGGGCACGCGGCTTGCCCCACTGCCCTGGGGCCCAGCTCCTGCTCAGGCCTCTAACCCCTTCACCTCCCTGCTCAGGGCTCCTTCCAGGAGACTGCAGCTGAGGCTAAGAAAACAGCATCTCCCTGCAGTCCGCCTGCATCATGCCCCTACGCTGTTGGACCACCTCATGGCATCCTTGGCTTGCTTGTGCTCCCCACCTCCAGGCCCCACAGTCTCAAGTGGACTGAGCTCTGGGAAGCTGAGCAGTGAGGGAGGGCTGAGGCCTTGGGCACATCCCCTGCGCCTCCCCACCACCCAGCCTGCTTTCCTGGCCTATCTGCAGGCTGGACCTCACCTCCTGTCCCGGTCCCCCCCATCCGCATATCAAGACCCTGGAGCCCAGCCTCCTCCTGAGGCCCCTGCATATTCCAGCTAGCTCCTGCTCTGACTTTCCAGCTTCAACAGCACAGGACCAAGCGTGGCAGTGCTGTCTCCCAGTTATTTTACGCCCAGAGGAGGAGTTCCACCTATGCCTGATCACAAAGCTGGTACTGTCTTCCCAGGGATCCTTCCGCAGAGGGGGGCCACTTAACAGATACCTCCAGGAGACATGGGACCTCACTAAGGTAAGACTGGCAGGCCTCTGTCCTGTTCAGGGAACAGCTAAAGGAGTTTGGAGGCCCCTAAGAAACATTTCCCATTTTCCCTATGAAGTCTGTACAGTGTACCCAGTGTAGACTGTGTACAGTCAGTGTAGACCGTGTAGACTGAAGAGTGTGTCTGCCTATAGGAGAATGAGCGTGTGGGTCTGTGTGTGCATGTCTGTGTGTGAGAAGGTGTCTCTGTAAGTATGAAAGGGGCGTATATGAGTGGGTGGGAAGGAGAGGAGCCCCCCCGCCCCCTCCCCCACACCCTTCTTAGACCTCAGGGGAGGTGAGGAGAGTAAGGATCGAGCGCCATCTGGTGACCATGAGCTGCTAACTATAGGCCACCAACCACTTCACCTCTTTTCTCTTGCCCCTCCCACTTCCACAACACAACTACATAGAACTGATCTCAGATCCTTCTTTTGGGGCTCCAACCCACTTGCTCACCACTCCTACCCCCTACCACACTCCTACAGAGACAGAGACTCTGACCCCCTGAATCTCTTGCCTCTCTCCCAGAGAAAGAGCCATTGGAGGGGATTCAGGTAGGCAGGGCTCACATCTCAAGCTTGCGGATTACTTCTGTGAATTGCAAGCTACTTGGCTACAGAATGAAATAACGGTACCTACTCCAAAGAATCATTGGAAAGTTTTATGTAAAATGAAATCATTAAGTTGGAAGGGCTGGGCAGCTACAAGAAGCCATGGGGCTAAGTCTAGTGTTTTCAGATCAGGTGGGACCTGCCTTTTGACTCTGTGCAGACCCCCTCCTCCTACCTGTCTTCTCATTCATCCTCCCGCCCCTCCTCCGACCTTCCCCTCCCCTGGCAGCCCCAAACTGCTATTCCTTCCTTCTTCCCAAGGAGCTCACCTCCTGCTAGGGACTCCACCCCACACCTGGTTGCAGGTTAGAGTAGCAATGAGCAGCCACCTAGGGCTGTTCGTGGGACCCACATTCCACCCCCTAGTCCTCCCTCTGTCCTCACCTCCATGAAGTCTTGAATCCCTCCCTCCCTCAGCCAGCCCAGGGCACAGAGCATCAGCTCTAGAACGATCCCTGCCCAACCTCAACCCTGCAGTCCTTTCTCTACTTTCCAGCAGGATCTTTCTAAAATGCATGTCCAAGTCACTCTCCTACTGAAAACGTTCGCTGTCCCCCCACTGCTCACAGAGTAAAGCCAAACTTCACAGCCTGGCATTCGAGGCTCTCCTTGGTCTGGCTGTACTTCCCTCTGTCTCTTCATTCCCTGCGTGCTGGTCACTCCCCTTTTCTGTGCCTTTAATGAGCAGTTCCTTCCACCAGGAGTGCTTGGCCCCTTCTGCCCACAGGAACACAATACCTGTTCATCTCCCAAACCTCACTACTTTGCTTCTCAGGGTTATAATCCTGCCTGGAGCCCCATGGCCAAGCATCCCATGGGGTTGTCAGGTCCCATGACCAGATCTTCCTGACCAGGCTGTTAGACTCTCCAGACCAGGGACAAGCACAATTAGCTCTTGGCTATTGTGGTCTTGGTATGGGGTCTTGCATGCACGAGGAAAGACTTGTGAGCTGTCCCCTCAGGTGGTGAGAAAGGATGTGTCACACAAGGGCCTCAAGTGGGATTAAATGTCCTCAAGTGTGGGTTGAGCTGGGGACAGACAACAGATGCAGGGAAGGGGAGTGAGGTCCCTGAAGCGTGCACACAGGCTGTCTGTGCTCCTCCTTTGTTCAAGGGCTGGTAGAAGAGAGTCACACATTTGAAGTGGGCGGTGGGGGGGGGGGGGGGGGGGGGGCACAGGCAGAGGAGCACCTATGTCAACCCACACCAATGCTGGTGTTAGCTGCGCACCATTACAAGAGCTGTCCCCTGTCCGTCCCTTGTCAGCCTTGGACCCTATCAGGAACTGACCTGCCTCTACCTGGGGGTCCACTGGTCAGCCTGGGTCCTGTGCTGTAAGAGGACAGAGACACATGGGGGGAGCCCAAAGCAGGGGCTGGGCAAAGGAGGGGACAGGACCCCAAGTTCTTAAGGGAAGGCTAGCTGCCTGGAGACCATAGCCCAGAAGAGCAGATACCAAACAGTGACAAGTTGTGGAGCAGGAGAAACAGATAGGCTCTGTGGTCCCAAAGGCTGGCACCTGGGGCATTGTAGGTGTCACAGGATGGCCCCAATCATCTTCTCCCAGTCCTTCTTTCCTCCATCTCCTAGGAAAGGAAATCCCAGTGTTCGGCCCTTAATATATCAACCGTTACTGATCTGGAAGAGATGAACAGGGAGAGGAAATGGGGGGTGGATGTAGGCGAGAGAGGGGGTGGGTTTAGAGACTTTTGCCTGTCAGATCCTCCTTATGGTCCAATCTGGGATCTGCCCCTCTCTATCTGTGCAGAGGCAAACACTCTCACAACCAGAAGAGCAAGGAACTAACTCCATAGACACAACCCAGGGTTGCATCTGGTGTACAGTCAGACTCAGGGGAGGATTTATGGGGACACAGATAGGGAAGAAAGGAGGGGGTTCAGAGGCCCAGGCCCTGGCTATATGGGTATTCATGACCAGCAAGGCAGAAGACAGAGGGTTTAGGAGGAGCTCTAGGCTGCCTCCTCCAGGCAGCCTCCTTGATTGCTTCAGCCCCTCAATTCTTTTCTTTCTAGTCCACAATCTCTGCCAGCCAACATGCCCTCTCACTGCTCCATGCCCAGGTCTCCTCATCTGCCGCCATATCTCTAAGCCCCTACAGTCTGGCACAGGAGGTCTGCGACTCTCCTATAAGAGGGGCTAGACACAAGGGCTGGAGGCTCCAGTAGCTAAGGAGTTCTAAAGGGCATTTGCCTACCCCAGTTCTGTTCCCCTCATCCCCAAGTACAATATCTGGAAATAGCCCCAAGGGGGAGGGTTGGTAGAAAGAAATAGATTTATTCTCATGTACAAAGCGGTCAGCCCACGGGACCATATACAACAGTTGCACAGAATCCTAGAAAAACGCATCTCTCTAAAGGCAACTCAGAATAGGTAAGGCAGGTGGCCCCCCTCCCCCCACCCCACAACACATACAGAACAAAACAGAGAAGGGAGATGCCAGCAGCCGGGCTGACCCAAGAAGCCCAGCCCTATGGGGGGTCTCCCAAGCCCCAGGGCACGGGTAGATATGGCCTTGAAGAAGATAGGAGCCCTGCCAGTCGGCCCTGTCAGGGCTGAGGCAGCCCTCTCTGGCTGCAGGAATGGGGAAGGGGCTTGGACTAAGTGGGGGGGGGGACACTCAGGGGGCCACTGAAGGACTCAGGGTTGGCTCTTTGCCCTAGGGTGGCAGGGACATTCCATGGCTTCTCCTGGGACTCCACAGAGCCATGGGGACTTTGATATCTAAAAGGGGTCTTAGAAAACAGATTGTCCCACCCTCCTGTCTCACCTAGATAGGGGAAGTGACTTGCCCAGGGTCACACAGCCAGGGGAAGAATTATTGACTCAGTTGGAGCCTGTCTTCCAGCCCTGGGATCCTTCCTGCCCACCATTCCTATCCTGCTTTCTCCCTGACCCCCCTCTGCCCAAAGCACTGAGCTGCCCCTCTGGCAGCTCCCCAGGTCCCAGTGCCCACCATAAGTATGTGGCGATCCCAAGGGGCACCTTCAGCGGCCCCGTGGCTATTTCTAGTTGTCCAGCAGAGCTAATGACTGTTTCTAAGACCTATTCTCTGCTCATTCAGATGTCCCACCTTCTCCTTGCATGAGGACCCTGGAGAGGGAAGAGGGCACAGATCTAATGGGGCAGGAATGGGGCCCAGGAGAGACCATCCAGGCTGCCTCAGAGGAGTGGCTGGGGAGGATTTGCCAAGATGTGGTCAGAAGTGCAGAGCAGGGCTCGCTGCTCATCAGTCACCCCTGTGCTCTCAGAGGACAAATGACAAAATCTTGGTGAGGCTGGAAGTCTTGCTTCCATTATACAGACAGGAAAGCTGAGGCCCAGAAAGGTCGGTACTTGTTCAGGGTCACATGGTAAGTCCTGGTCTAGAACCTAGGACCCGTGGCTCTGGTCCCAGGGCACCCGGCCAGGCCAGTGGGGGGCTGTGAGAGGAGGCCTGGGCAGGGAAGGGTCCTGGGGAGGGGGGGGGGGGCTCACTCAGCATCAAGGCTGAAACAGCCATTGACAGGGGCCCCAGTGCCATCCAGCTGAGGCACCTCGTACTCCTCATCCAGGAAGTCCAGCGAGTTGTTGCTCGGGAGGCCGCGGATGGTGAATTTGTGAGACACTTTGGTCCAGTGCTCACGGTTAGAGGCCACACGTTCATATAGCTCTGCCGCCTTGGGGAACAGGTCCTGCAGCAGCCTGGGGGTGCAAACGGACATGGACAGGGTCACAAATCAGACTGTGAGTAGCAAGAAGGATTAGGGCTCTACCGCAGGAAGAACTTGCACGAGAGTGTGAGGCATAGGACTGGACGCTCAAGGAGAAAATGAAGTGAAGGGCCCGTTTATGGGCCCACAGGAGATAGCACCTGCATCTGCTGTGACTGCCACAGCCAGCCCTGTCCCCCCCAACCCCCAGCAGACCCCCTGAGCTCTCTCACTTGTAAATAGGCATCGCGATATGCTCCATAAAGCTGATCTGCAGCTCAGGGATGTAGGCCTTCTCCCGGTCCATCATCTCCATCGGTCTGTTGCCCATGGCCTTCTCCTGCAGGCAGCGAGTCATCAGGCCTGGTCCCCTCCTCCCTCCATCAGGTACCAGGATGAAGCTAACCCAGCCCCTCCCAGCCCCAGCCCAGGATCCCTCTCCCCACAACCTGGCACCAGCAGTCACTCCCCACTTACCAAGTCTCCCTGGGAGAAGAACTCTTTGTAGATCAGCTCCTGAAAGGCCAACACTCTCATCACAACTTGTGTGTGGAATCCGTCCACCTGAGCTCCTCTACAGCCCATTCCCAAACTGGCAAACTGAGGCATCCCTCAGCCCTCCTTCAGGGTCTGTCCGCACCATCCCCAGTTTGGCAGGGGGATGGCCCAGATGGGGAGGAGTGGCTGGGTTCTGGTCCACCTTCCGCCAGCCACTGACTTGCTGTGTGACCCCTGGTGAGTCCATGCCCCTTTCTGAATCTCCCCATCTGTCACCCGAGGTGGTCTAGGTTTCTGTCTCCCCAAAATATAGCCAGGCTGAGCTCAGCACAGAGAGGGTGAGCAAGATGCAGGAGCCACAAAGAACTTGGCGGGGTGTGCAGCCTGCACCCTCCCAGGGAGGGGCAGCACTTACTGCGATCTTCCTCGTAGTCTTCCAGCCCTTGGTCTGGTCAGAGAGGTCACAGGAGGTCATAAGGAGGCAGAGGAGGAGGCTATGGTGTTGCTTGTTCGTTCGGTCATAACCCACTGTTGGGGAGAGCGTGTGGTCAAGGAGAGGAGGCCCCACCCCCTCTCTCTGAGGGCAAGGTCCCCAGGGCCCACCTATGTGGTCCATGAAATTCGGCACCCTGGGTGGGAGCCAAAGGGTCGGTGCTGCATCTGCCTGGGTTTGGTGGGTTGATGCTGGAGAGAGTAGGTCTCTCTCAGCACATCCCCCTCTTGGTGGTCCTTTCCCAACCCCAAGGTCTGGGCTTTAAAGACAGGCACCTTCGGCCATCTTCTGGAGGTCCTTGAAGATGCGGAGGTGGTGGGCCAGATCGGTGGCCAAGATGATGTCCCGCATCAGGTCCAGCATACGCTGATAGTCCTGGGCCAGGGTGGGCAGGGGAGCGAGGAGGTGTCAGGGCCTCCTGTCAGACACCCCCACCCACTCCCTCGGCTCCTTCTCCTGCCTCAGGCCAGCTCTGGGCTCCCACTCCCTCACCCCCAACCCTAGCCCCATCACCTTCCGGGAGAAGTGGTCAAAGATGTTGCAACCATGGGTGTTGAGGATGGCGATGGCCTGAGCGAAGTGGTGCCTCTGTGGGGAGAGGAATGATGGGGGCCCAGCTGGGGCCGGGGGCTCTGCTGACCACTGATGCCAAGAGAGGGAGCAGGACCAGTGCAGCCCCAGCTCCCAAGGTGAGCAGAGCAGGCAGAAACGGGGAGTCGGGGGTCCTAGTTCCCTTTCTGGGTTCTGTTTCAGCCCTCTGTGTGACCCGGGCAAGTCCTCGCAGGCTCTGAGCTTCAGATCCCTCAGCTGTCACATGAAGGGACATGACAAGGCAAGCTCTGAGGACTTCTCAAACCGGGATGATTCTGAAATGATCCATTGGAGTCCTAGACACTAATTCATGCAGCAAACATTTGTTTGCTGACAAAGAAAGACAGTGATGAGGTGAGGGCAAGGTCCCTGTCTCCAGATGCTGAAGGGCTGTCATTGAGAGAAAGAGCAGGCTGAGCACAGAATGCAGAGGGCAGAAGTGGGGCTGCCACAAGGCCTCATGGGAGGGAGTGAGCCCCTCATCTCCCAGGGGTATGCAAGCAGGGGCAGTCTCCAGAGGGATGTTGTAGCAGGCAGCAGGGGGCAAGGTGACCTTGTCCCAGGTTTAGCTCCTATTCTGTGCCAGACCCCATGCCAAGTGCAGGGAATTCAGAGAGGTCTCAGATTTTGTCCCTGCCCCAAGAAGCTCCCATCCTGGGGTGGGCAGACACAATTCAAACAACCTAAGGCAAAACTGGGTGTGATGGGAGGTGGAGCCATCCCAGGCCTGGTGGAGTGGGGGTGGAACAGGGTGTTCCCAGATATGCCAAGAGAGACATGCTAAATACAAGTGCTCCCTGTGCAAACCTGGGCTCGGGCAGGACCTTCAGGCTGACCCACATTCCATCCACACCTGCACCCCTCCAAGCCCATCCAGCAAAATGAGCCCGACATGCCCTGGGGTATGGCTACAGCTCTCACAGCCTGTCTGGAGAGCACGGCTTGGGAACAGGAGGAGCTGGGTCATGGTCTAACTATGTAAGTCACCAGCCTTAAGAGGATGATGGGCACAGGGATATTGGGCAGAATGGTGGTACCTCCATGACAGAGCCCTCGGAGCTGTAGAGAGCAGCCAGCACAGATTTCTGGAAAATCCCGGGAAATCTCCATTACTCCTTACATCCAGATGCAAGTGCCTGCCATATTAGGCTAGGCATTGCCCTGTCCTCCCTGCCCTCACCATTCCCCCACCTCAGAGCCCAGGCAAAGCCTTGGAGAGCCTCCTCCCATCTCCAAACCGGCTCCCGGTCCCACCAGCTCCCATCTCTCCTCAGGCTGGAGGAATGAGACTCCCAGATGCCCTGAGGAGGGTGCCCACTCTGAGGAGGGCAGAATCTTACTGAGGCCACCTGGAAGGAATTGTTTGTGCCTCTGTGGTCCAAGTCATGACACATGCAGGAAATAAACAAGGCGAAGATCTCGATGTCCCTGGTTGGGAGGCAGAGGGGAGAGGGAGATCAGGCCCCTTCCACACATCCAGAGGAAGAATGGCTACATGAGATGTCCAGGAGCCACCAGACAGGAGCCGGGGACACCTGGGTCCCCTTCTGGGAAAGCAGCCCTGGTTTGGAGTTTGACAGGCTCACTGCTCCATGAGTATGGGACATGTGACTGTGAGCAAGTCCCACCTGGAAAATGGGGCAATGTAGCCTTCCTCAGAACCATTAAGAGGGATCGTGGGAGGTGGTGTATGTAAAGTGCCTGTCATCCTTAGGTGCCTCCCCTATCCCAAAGCAGGGGACTGTAACAGCTGCCAGACTTGGGGGTCAGTGCAGACACTCACTCGAGGTAGTTGGTAAGCTCCAGATTCTTGTAGAGCAGGTAGCAGAAGTGGGAGACAGAAAAGGCATGCATCCAGTTGTGGTAGGGGGGATCCCGGTAGCCCTTCTTCACCATCAAACAGAACCTGGCGGAGGGGAGAGGGCAGCAGAGGGGCCTCAGGCTCTCCTCTTTCAGGAAGCCCTTCAGGCTGTGCCTTGCCCCATTCCTTCCCTTTACTCATGGTCCCAGTGCCTGTGAATTGCCTCTCACTCACGGATCCTCTCCACTCCCACAGGCTGGGCCACTCCTAGTCGTCCACAGAGACCCCTTCCCAGAATGCTGGGGCAATGGATGTGAGAGTAGAGGACAGAGGGAGGCAAAGACCAGGGCTGCCTGCACGTGGAGGGGAGGGCTGGGGCACACACCGGGCCAGAGTTGGGCAGTCAATTTTGTAGTTATTGATGAAATTCATGTCCTGCAGCATGCTCAGGATGGCCTGGAGAGAGTAGAAGGGAGGATTCAGAGGGACTGTCTGTTTCAAAATGGGTCCCCTGCCTTGCCCCTTCTTGAAGCTTCCAAACTTTTGGAATCTTAGAACTTTAGATCTGAACTGGAGAACCATAAAATGGTAGAGACAAGCATTCTCGGAGCCACGAACTTTTAGAAACGGGACCGAAGAACTCTTGGAACCAAACTCACACAAAATCTTAGAAAGCTAGGGAGGGAGGCGCCAACCCTGAGGCCACGTGCCCCAGGCATTGTGGGCTCTGGAGCAGCCCTTGGCGATCACCCAGTCCAGCCACTGAGCCCTGGGCAGGCCCTGTGGCCCACACTGGCAGACCACATGCCCACTCCATCTCTGAGGGAGGCTCGCTAGCTTTTGGTGATGACTCTGTCTTGCCAGGAAGTTCCTATCCACATCTAACTTAAATCTCTGGCTGTACACCCTCCACCTATGCAGTCAAATGGGGGGAGGGCCAGCTCACCATGGAAGTGTCATCCTCGGGCAGAGAGCGAGGAGTATAGGTGAAACTGGCAAAGTTGGAGTCAATGGCAGCCACAGGCTGGATCCCATCATGGAGAAGTTTGGTGTATTCATCATCAGAGACCTAGAGGGGAGCAACCAGAGTATTAGAAGATGGCCTCCACCCCCATCCAGTGTCCTCACCCTCAAAATCCCACAGTGGGAGGGAGCGCCCTGGCCCAGAATGCACCCACGGCAGGGCATGGATACTCCAATCCATGGGGTATCATTGGCAGGAGACCACTGTGGTACAGCCCACCTACTGTGCCTCCTCGCCTGTGACAGCCCTCGTCTGTGACAGCCTGTCCTCAGCAAAGACACAGAAACACCACTTCGGGACACCACCAAACAATGCCAGCCTTTCATAGACACTAACTTGAGGATTCTTTCTTTTGGGGCTAACATCCCAGAGTCTAACCTTAATCCTTCCTATCACAGCTTTGACCCTATCCACAGAGCCTGAGACCTTTTGGTTTGGACACAGGGAAGAGGAAAATGACCACCACACAGTCTGAACTAAAGCCCAGGACAGCTTTTCTGAAACAGGGTCTGGGAATGAGACAGAATATCAGCAGGCTACGGAAGCATGCATGACCACTGAATGTAGGCGAGCTGTGGGAAGGGCCCTGAGTGAGCTTCCTAGCCTTCAGTAATTCTCAAGGTGGGAGTCATCACCGGATATGGGGAACACCTGGCCAAACCAAGTTCCTCCCCGCGATGGGTCCTGCTGCCAGCCTTGGAGCTGAACTGGAAACTGCTTGGAAGAGGCTGCCCCAGAGGAGAGCAGGAGGCCAGGCATTGCTTTGAATCTATCTTCTTATCTTCAGGAAAGGGTGATCAGAAAACCCAGGCTGGTCCTGGGCCCCCGGGGAACTGGGAGGCAGGGAAGAAATAGGTGGGCTGCAGGGGACCCTGGGATACTGAGAAGAAGGACAGAAGCTCCGTGCAGGCCTCACCTTCATGTGGTACATCATCATCTCGTTGGCTAGGTGGCTGCGATACTGGGCCTCATTCACTTTCTTGTATAGGAGGGACTAGGAGAGAGAGGGAAAGATGGGGCTCAAACTAGGTGGCTATGAAACTCAGAATGCCCAGGACTGGGACAAAAGGATCATATAGGCCACCCCCCCCCCCCCCGCCCCGTTCCTGTCCCATGCTGGCTCTAGTTTAAGCTTTCAAGATCCAGCCAGAGTAGGGACCCCCCCTCTGACTTTCACCCATACCTTCCCCCCTTGCCCCTCCTCCCCAGGTCCTCTTAGCATTTGATCTGGCACTTTGCACCCCCTCCTGAGCCTGCCCCAGTCTTCAGTCATGGAGCCTGAGTCCCACAGCAGAGACAGAGACGCAAGGAATGGGTTAGCCTCAGGAACCTAGTGGTTGGATTCCTGGCTCAGAGCCAACTCTGGACAATGAGACCCAACATTTCCCAAAAAGAAGCTGACCAGGGGCTCGGGTTGAGGCTGCTTGGCAAAGAGGGTGGGTATTAATGACAATTGGGGTTTCCCCCGATCCCAGGAGGCTAACTTGGCAAGATAGGAAACAGTATCCCCCCCAATTTTCAGATGGGAATCTGAGGCTAGAGGTGACCAGCAGGAACTGAAGGCTGCACAGCAACCCAGCAACAGAGCTCAGACTCACAGGGCCCGTCTGGACACAGCCAATGTGAAGGTGAACAGAGGGTCCTGCACCGGCCCTGCCCTTTCCCCACTCACATGGGCTATGCTGATGCCACAGTAGATGGAGAAGGCGGTTGCCAAGTCCTCGTCGAACTTGCTGAACCATGGTCCGTTAATCTTGTTCACCAGCTCGGCCACACCGATGACCTCTGGGGGCCGGAGAGGGGCTAGGACCGGCTGCTGGATGTGTCCGGCGGCGTCCGCCCTCCCAGGGTGTCCTCAAGGGACGTCCCAGCCAGGGTAGTCCCGTCCTGTCCTTTCCGCTCCCGGATGCTAAGGCGGTGGGGAAGGGTCGCCGACCCTCCGCTCGGCTCCGCCCCATCCTGCTCAGGCCCCGCCCCCGCCCGAGCCCGCCCCACTTCCCGGAGCTGCCCGGAGCTCGCACCCTGGTTCTCGTTCTTGATGGGGAAGCAGAGGATGTTGCGCGTGCGGAAGCCGGTGCTGTCGTCCACGCCACGGTAGAAAAGCGGATGAGCGTACGCGTCCGGGATGTTCAGGATCTGACCGGTGGTTGCCACGTGGCCCGCAATGCCCTGGTCAGCCGGGATGCGGATCTCGTAGCTCTGCCAGGGCAGTGATGGAGTAGAGAGGAAGTCAGCGGCCGGCCACAGAACGGACCATGGACTGTCCCGCTTCCTCCTCCTTGGGCGCCTTGTGGACTCCCGGCCCCCAGGACTACGGCCACACACTCCCTCCGCGCGCCCGTGCCTCACCTCGTCATCCACCACGCCCCCGTCGAACACCTTGGCCACCAGCTCATTTTGATCCAGCAGGAACACGGAGCAGCTGTGGGGAGACAGCCACGGTCCACAGGTCCCTGACAGCCCTCTCCGACCACCCCCACTTCTCACGACTTTAGGCAAAGCCTAGATTTCTGAAGCCTGAAAGGTGCTATCCATTATGAGAGACCCTCCTGAGGGCTGGCTGACTCCAGACATTAGTTAATCCCAATGATTTTTTTTCTTGTAGTGCCTACTATGTGCCAGGCACTGTGTTAGGAGCTGGGGACCCAGGGCCAACAAAGTGAGCCCTGCCCCTGCTATCATTGAACGTTATTAGTGAGGGTCACAGGCATGAAATAAAGGATCACACAAAACATGATAGCGTCCCGCAAGAAGGCAGTGGAGGGGAAAAAAGAAGCGAAGAAGGAAGGGGATGAGGACCCAGGACTGGGGCCTCTCTCACCTTACCCTGGGGTAGACTAACTTACATCTCAGCATTGCTGAGGTTTCTGGCCTCTGTGATGATCTCCTGGAGCAGGACAGAGACATCATCTGTGGGAGGGAGAAGCATGGAGGGCAGTGGTGAGACCATGCCGAGGCCAAGCCCTGCCACCTCTCTTCCCCAAAATGCCAGTCCCCGCTCCCACCCACAGCCAGGCATGGAGGCCAGTTCACTCACCCAGGTGAGTAAAGAGGTTCTTTGCCACTTGGAGAAGAGCCTGGAATGGAGGAAATGAAAATCATAGGGGTTCACATTGCAGAGGTGTCACACCTTCCATCCCCCTGCTTCCAGTAGCTCCAGGGTCTTCTCATGCCCCCTTTAGGGCTCTCTGGACAGGCTGGGGACTGGCACAGTCTAGTTATATCATTTGGCTACCAAGTGAAGGAGTGAAAGTATAGCCCCAGTGAAGGTGCCCAGTAATCTTGAATCTCAGATGCTCATTCACCTCTGCTCTAGCTGCCCAGATGTTGCTGTAGTACCCAAGTTGAACACTAGAGGACGGTCACATACAGTGCCTGCAGCCAGCGGCGCCGTCCTGAGGACCCACCGACCTACCTCTTTAAGAAGCCTCCAGGGCACCTAGGTAACCTTCCTGCCAAGGGTCCAGAAAGACATGGGCTTTTCCCTTATGGATGACGCTCTGGGGCTGAGAGCTGGGCGACTTCAACCCCAAGAGTGGCTCCTAGAAGGTCACTCACCTGGCACTCACACTTGAGCTTTTGCTCTTTCTGGAAGGCCAGGGTGCTGGTGAGCACCGTGCTAGTGTAGTGGAAGCAGTGCTGGATCACATGCTCATCCTGGTCCGTGAACCTGGGGCAGAGGGCAGAGGTCACTGGAGAGGCAGTGGACGATGGACTTCTCCCTGTTTCTCCTTACTTTCATTTCTCCAGGAAGCCCACTCAGAGACGCAGTAGCTAACCATCACTCCCCTCTACTGGGGCTGTTCCCTGCACAGGCAGCTGGGCCAGCTTCCCCCTCAGACTTGGGGCTCCCTGAGGGGAGGACTCTAATCCTCCTCAGACTATTGTTGATTGAAGCCAGAGCCATGTCTCCATCCTCTGACTTCGGATTTTTCCAGACTGAGGCTGGGTCTCTTCTCTCGGACTAGAGACTTGCCCAGGCCAGAGGTGGATATTCTCCTGCTCTTCCCAGGGGCCCTTCCCAGGGCCTCACGAAGTACCCTGTCTTGTCCAGCTCCTGCCACTGTCCTACTCACCCTGAGTCTGCAGGCCCTGATCTGGTGCCTCCATAGATCCTGAGGTGTTTGTGAGGAGGGTAGTGCCCACCTTACTCAGACAGCTAGCCCCAAATCCTTTTTGAGGTTATTCAATCTGGCCACCAAATGACTCATCACTAGGGAGTTTTGTGGGGCCGGATGGACCAACTTGGGGCAGGACCTGCTCTGGGGAGATGGGTTAGCCTCTCCATGTGGGCGTCTTCGGAGTGAGGGGGAGCAGGGAGCACACCTCAAAGATCTTGACCTTCTCTCTGCCCCCAGATTTCCCTGCCTAGGCTTCTTCCCATTTTATGGCTGGTCTCAGTGCTCCTCTGCCAGGATATCCCCCACTCATGCTTGCTGCCCAATGATTTGGGTCTACATCCCCATCCCCACCAGCCTGTGTCTGTCTCCCCACCTTCCCTACCAGCCTGTGTCTGTCTCCCCCTTCCGTACCATGACATTTGAGGCCCCTCAGTCTGGTCCCACTCACCTCTCTCCCCTAATCTATGGGTATCTCTCATACTAAGCCATACTAAGATCCTCATCGTTCTGAGAAAACCTCAGTCTCTTTCACACCTTCACGCTTTTCCCCACACTGTTCTCTCTGCCTAGAATACCTTTCCCACCCTCCTCCCTCTTGGCCCTGAAAATAAACTCCAAGTCTTGAAGGCAGGGACCATGACTGTACCACCCAGTGCAGAGCCTGGTACCAGGGAGTTATATGGGAGGTGTTTGCTGAATGTTTTAACTATACTCTACCTCTGCCCTGGCCACCAGCCCCATCACATGCCCGGCTCAAGGGACTCTGGAGTCCCTGTTCTCTGGGCTCCAGGCAGCTTGTCCGCAGTCACTGCTCTGAGCTGAACCCCACCTTGGCTCATGCAATCATTCAGCACTCACTCCCTGAAATATGTGGGACCCAGAGATGGCCACAAAGTTGTCACCAAGGCCCCATCTCATTTCCCTTCTGACACCACCTTTCCTCCAGGTTTAGGGCCATCTCAGAACCCAGTCTCACAGACAGCAGCCCCTAATGAGCCCCTTCCCTCTGTACTCCCCTCCCCAAAGGCCTTTCCGGGGCCACCTGACCAATGCAGGGCTGGATACAGTAGGTGCCCAACTTGTGTTTATTGAATGGTGTCAATGCTCCCACCGCTAGGATACCAACCACAGATGACACAGATCCACATCCTCCCTGCCTCAGCAAGTTCTACTTCATCTCTGTCTTCACTTCTCCAGGCCTGTCCAACTGCCTACAGAGCTCTGTGCTGGCGGGTCCTGCTACTCAGGTCTATGACTTTCATATCTCTGCCCCACCTATGCAGACTCTGTCCCTGTGCTTCTGACATCTCTATAGTCCCAACATCCCGGTCTCCACTTTCTGCAGGACCTTCAGGCCCTCAAACCCAGTCTGCTTGCTTGAGCCCCAGGGGCCAAGCTCTTTGTCAGTATCTCTCTGCATCCCAGAATCAGGACCCACCCCTCACCTGCCTGTTTCTCCCTCCCTATATGATCCAGGCACAAACTGCTAGACCATCTGGACCAACTCTGGCAGCATTCACATACTGAACCTTCACCCAGGATAGACATGGCTAATCAATCACAGCATTGTTTCTCACTAAACTAATATTCATTCTCAACCCACTGTTTCAGGCAGCTACCACCAAGTAATGAGTTGGAGTAGAACGCCAAATCTATTTGTGATACTACTTTTAGACCCCAATCTGACCTCAGTTCTTGCAAAATGCTTCCTAAGCCTCTTTACCTGACTCTGCCCTGCCCCTCCATTTCAAATGATTCTTATAGCTGCCCTATCAGTGTCTCTAAAGCCCCTTAGCTTAGCCCAGCCCCCCAGCCTATTCCCTTTAGCCCTTGCCCACAGTGTGATTGCTGCTCTGTGGATCCCAAGGAGTTCACCCATCCCAGAACTTACCACCCCTCCGTCAGCCAATTCCCAGCAGAAAAGCCAAACAGGGTGATGGCAAGTGGGGGAAAGACCAGTACTCTAGCAGTGGATAGCCCAAACTGGAGGCAGTGGGCAGACAGAAGGGGAACTCATTTGGACCTCAACGTGATTTGAAATAAGCCAAAATGGGTGATGGAGAGTCAACAATTACCTGCACCCCAGCCAGCAGCTGCAAGGGTCTGGCACCTTCACAATCCCATAGTCTCTTGCAGCAACAAACCATTTGACCCACCACTGCTGGGGCAGTATCCCCTGCCTGGTGCCCTTCCCTGTTACCCTAGTAGAGAGCCCTGCCCAGTCTTTCAGCTTCTGATCCACTTCACCCCACCAAGACTCACAAGTCTCCTCCGAGCTTGTTGAAGGCGCAGGCCAAGGCCACCACCTGGTCAGTGGCCCGGCTGATGACAGGAACGCAGAGCATCGCCTGCAGCTCACAGCCCAACATGCTTTGCAGCTGTTGCACATCCTCCTGCAAAGGGGGAGGTGTGTCAAGGCAGGGAAGGAGGGAGGGACCATGCTTCCTTCCCCTAGCCCTCCACCACACTCTGCAACAGGCAGTTCTAAGGGACCTCTGTGAGATGGGAAACCCTAGGACATGGGTATGGGTTGGGAGAAGGTCCCTGGGGCTTGTTTCCCCCATTCCCAGGCTGCCTTGTCCCAGAGACCCTGTCCCTTTGCCTCGTCCCCTGGTCCAGCCAGGCCATGGCTTACCGAGGTGAGATCCTTCAGCTGGATAGATTTCTTATCTTCCACCACCTGGCCCAGGCGTCCTGTCGTCAACTGGAGAGTGAAGAGAGGCTGAGCCAGGGCCTAGTTCTCTCTAAGGTCAGGTGACCTCAGACTCAACCCCCCTCCCAAGTCTGGAAGTTTCCAGACCTTCCAGACACCTTCTTCAGTAAGTCCAAATGGTGGGTAGAGTCAACACTGGGGGGCGGGGGTGGAGGGTGGGGTGGGGTGAGGGTCTGCTCTTGACTAGAATCCCCTTTGGATGACTTTAGGGTCTAACCTAATTAGGAGAGAGAAAAGCAAACCCCAAGGATTCTCATTGATCTCAAAGATCCTGAGAGAGCCAAATCCAGAAATGTTCCAACAGAAGTGAACTGGCCCCAAGTAAGCCTTTCTATAGATTGTAAGAGAGCTCTCCTAATGGATCCTGTTCATGAAAGATCGTGACCTCTTATAACATTTCTTAATAGATCCCAAGATCCAGATAATTCCATCAGATTCCAAGAGATTCTAGTAGAGACCCCAGTCTCTCTGGGCAGATCTCTGGAGTGTGTAGCTGGCCTTAACTGCTCCCACAGAATCCAATACAGAGGACGGTGGCGAGACTCACCGGAAAGCTGGTTTCTTCCTCCAGCACTTTATCTCCGATTACCTAAGCGGCAGAGCGGGGGTGGGGGTGGGGGCAGTTAAAGGGTGGGCAAGGCTGTTCCCCTCGGCGACCTGAGCCCCCCGCCCAGCCCCATAGTGGACCTGGGCCCTCACCTTGCAGGAAAGCTGGAGATTATCCTCGGACACCAGCAGGAGGCAGCAGCGGGATGCCTGGGTCTCCTGCTGCAGCTGAAATGCAGGGACCGAGAGGGGCTGACGGCGGATCTAGGGCCACCCCCACTCCCCAGCTCTCGCCTCTCTGAGGCTCCTCAGGTAGAAGGAGGAGAGAGGAGGGGCAGGGCGTCGGAATCTGAACTGAGAAGGAGGGCTCACTGGGACCTAGGTCCCTGGAGGATCACAGGGGGAGAGGCACGGGCACTCACGTATTGGAGGACTTTGAGCTGGAGGGACGAGGCATCCAGGTCGTAGAGTTCCCCTGCAGTGGCGACGCGCCGGTCAGAGAGAAGGCTCGCAGACTTCCCCAGAGGTGCTCCACCTGCCCGCCCAGCCCATGGACCTCCCTTCCAATTGCCACCTGGCTCCCCAACCCAGACCGCACCACCTCCAAGAGGCCCCTCCCTTCCAGGTTAGACCCGCTGGGCGGGGTCCTTACCGCACAGCTGCAGGATCTTTTGGTCCTGGTCGGTGTGAGCCACACCGCCCTTCTGGTCTCCCGCCACCCCCGCCGGGGGGTTCCGGACTGCTGCCGAGGCGGCGCCAGGCCCCCGGGGCTGCAGAGCCTGCACCCTTCGCAGGGCCACCAGAGCCTGGGACGAGCAGGGCGGTCAGCGAGTCATTCGTCCCACCTTCACCGCACACACCGCGTCGGGACCCTCGCCCTTGTTCAAACCGTTCTCCGTCGCGGGGAGCCCACCATCCCCATCCTGGTCCCAAACAACGCAGCCCTCAGCGCTCCACCCCGCCTGTGGGCTCCCACTGCCCCAGGAGCATCCTTCCGCCCTTGAACAGCTGAGTACAGGGTTGTCTCCCCCGCCTGCCCCCAGGCTCTTACAAGACAGGGCAGGGTCAGATTTCTCAGTGTCTCTAGCACTCACGGGAGTAAAATCCCAGGAAAGAGCCTCATTATCGTGAAGGGCATGGTCTTTCCTAAGTATTGACAAGGTGTTTGTGTTGCCTCATCTCACCGGTACCATAAGCAGGTCAGTGCTATCCTTATCCTCATTTTCAGATGTGAAACTGAGGTTCAGAGAGGTTAAGTGACTTGCTCAAGGTCATACAGCCCAAAGATGCTGCACTGCTTGTCCAGCTCCCTGGCCAGATCATCTCCCCACCGGCTATGATGAGGGCCTTCAGCAGCCCCCATCCTACCTCAGCCCTACCCTCACTCACATGCTTCTCCACGGCTTGCAGGCTCCACTCTTCACTGTCACTCAGCTGGCCACAATGCACCTGGAGGAATATGAGAGGGGGACCAGCTATGACCTCCCCTAGCCTCCTGTCTCTGCCAGAGTGCCCTCCTCATGCCCAGCACACGCTTGTCCCCACCAACACATACACACTCCAGTCTGTGGGCTTCAGTGAGAAGCCCATCCTTCTGACCAAGCAGATAGCTCCTCCTTCCTCCAGGAAGCCTTCTGGGCCTAACCCAAAGAAATAGAACCTTTCTGATCCCTGCCTTTTCAGTCACTGTCCCATCAACAACACTGTCCAGGTGTTTAGTGAGGAAGGGAGTTACCCTGGACCCTCTTTCATCTCTCAGCCCATAGAAACCTTAAGCCCTGATTATGGAATCAGTGGTATTAGTCTCAGCCTCCAGCTCCACCTTTTCTGAGTTGGGGTTTGAGCCACCCCAAAGTCTGGAGCAAGGGAAGAGGTTCAACATTTAAGATGCACCTGCTGTGCCTAAAGAACTTGAGAGGAAGATGGGTGAATGAATGAAAGAAAGGAGAAAGAAAGTGCTTGCCTTCCATGTGATTCTCTCACTAGCCCACAAGGCAAGCTTCTACCCTGCATATAAAGCAAGGCCCAGAAAGGTGGAATTGCCTTGGCCAAGGTTACACAGCAGGAAGTGGCAGAGTTGGGACAGCACCACCTACTCCCTCCCCTCCTTTGCCTATACCTTCCCCTCTTTGGATCCACTCTCACCCCTCCCATCCCCCAACCTCCACCATCCCATCCCTCTCCAACTTCCCTGTGTCAGTCACCAGGAATATCCTCAGCCCATCTTATCTCTGTGAAGGCCCTTCCCCCTACCCCTGCTTGGGCAGTTTGTAAGAAAAATGAGAGAGAGACAGAGAGAGAGAGAGAGAGAGACAGAGAGAGAGAGGTGGTAGTCTGGGGTCCCATTGCAGGCCCTGCCAGCCAGGCTCCCCACCTTGTCACCAGCTTCCTGCGCTGACTCAGGGCAGCTCACCACCTGCAGGGCTCCCCACAGTGCCTGCATGGGGTCCCTCCTTCATCCTCAGCTCCCCACTCAGCAGCCCCTGCCCGCCTCTGCTCTAGGTACCCTGCCTGGAGCAGATGGAGAGGAGGAGCCCAGCAGGTTCTCAGAAGGCTCACAGTCTGGCAGGGCAGGGTGGAGTGGGGGATACAATTGGAGGGGTGCAGAACCTCATACCTGAGGAAGTAGGAGAGGGCAGACTGTGGGTGAGAACCGAAGGCTTGTGGGAACTCAGAAGGGGAGAGCATCTGGGAGGCTTCCAGAACTGGCACTGAAGTATGAGGAGGAAATGTGGGGCCTAAAGAGGGGGGGACACTGCAGGCAGGGGCTGTCCTGGCAGTCCTGGCTGGTAGGTGGCCTAGGGATATGAGGACCAGGGCCGGGGTGGGGTCCATGGTGCCGCAGGGGGAAGAGTCTTGAATGCAAGGCTAAGGAATTGGACTTTAGCTTAATTGTACTGGGGACCCATGGGGCAGATTTTAGCATCTGTGGACCAAAAATGGTATTGAAGGCTAAGCTCTGGATGAAGCGCCATCTATGACTCCCATAGGACAGGGAGCTGAAAGAGACTGAGGGCATGATTCATTTGTGTATGCTTACATAAACATGTTGGTATTTTACTGTGCTATCCTTTTTGTCCTTCTGCCTTGACCCATTTCTCAGGAAAAGGGAAGACTGGGACCACCCCCCCCCCGGCCACCGCAGGGCTGTGGGCACAACTAGTTCCTGGGTTGGCAATACAGCCTGGTGCCAGTACAGAGCTGGTAGACTGAAGGAGAGCTTCAAAAGGGCTGGAGAAAAGGAAGGAATCGCAGAGCCCACCCCCACCCACTGGACCCCACCCGCCCAGCACACGCTCCTGGGCTGCCTCAGCCCATCCCCACCCAGCATGTGCACAAGCGCACATACACAGTCTCATGAAAACCCTCCGCACTGCCCATACACTCGCTTTGCCATGGAGATACTCAGGCGTGTGTGCACACATGCGCACACAGAGTACAGTCCCAGACTCAAAGACATCCGCACACGCACACTCACAGAATCTACACCATCCATACGTGCACATGCGCACCTGTACACAGGATACTTGGGTCCACACACCCAAGAGCCACGCACACACTTCTGGCCCCCCACTTGCAAACACACAATCACCAACATCCACACGTGGCTTTCTGCTCACCAACAGGAACACACACTTGCAAGCTACTCTTTCTTGTTAGTTAGGGAATGTGTCTGGGGTCCGGCGGAACACTCAGGGGTGGGCACTGGGGCTGTGGAGAGGGTTGAGAGCCCAGCACAGCCCCTATAACCCTCACCCACATGAAGTTCAACATGGCTAACTGAACGAACACCTCATCCTCACGTAAGGAGCTGGTGTGACTGGCACAGCTGAAGAGAAGAATGGGCATAAATCACGCATCAAATGCTAGAGACCAGGGGCCGCCCACTCCTGGGACTTATTATCCCAGAACTGAAAAATAGAGCTAAAGACTCTTTCCACACGAAGAATCTGCAATCAAAGCACCTTGAACTACAGGGTGCAGAGGCCCAGCACTCAGCCAGGCAGCCCGGCACCTGGCTGGCATATTCCTCAGAGAGCCCTCCATTGACCGTTTCTCCATCAGGCTCCAATATTGCAGGGCTCCCTGTTTCCTTGCTAGCATTCACCATCATTTCTAATTCTATCCTTATTTCACTCACTTGTTTGAGGTCTGTCTCCCAACCCCTCCAGACGGTACGGTCTGTGAAAGCAGGGGTCAGTCACTGCTGTTTGCAGCACCTATAGCACACAATGCCTGGCGGTGCTCAAGAAATATGTCTTCCATTGATGGATGGATGGATGGATGGATGGGTGGATGGAAGGACAGCTGGAAGGACGGGTAAATGGATACCAAGAGCAAACAAAGACTCCGAGAGGGGAATGGGGCTTGTGGAGGAAGTAGCTGGTGAGTCAGCCCTCCCAAAATATCTGCCTTGTGGCACTCCTTTTACCCTTTGTACCCTCTGCCCTGAGGATCTGGTAGCAGTTAGGAGGGCTGTGGCTGCCTGGGCTGCCTCTCGAAGGACGTGAGATCCACATCAGATGTGTATGTGTCGGGGAGAGGGGTGTCCTGGGGAAGTTCATTTCTACCTGAGTCGGAAGGCACAGGCTTGGAGTAGAGGCGGACTGTGAATAATCTAAACACCTGTCAAGAGCTCCTAAAAAAACCACAAACTCTTCACTGCCCAGGGTATTTGAGGAGGTGGGCAGACAGTTGTCAGGAACTCCTCCTAACAGCCAAAGCCCCAGGTAACATCTTGCTCAACAGCACACATTCCACACCTCAGCCTCACCTGGATCAAGCTCTTTTTCCAACCACCCTGCTCCCCACCCTGCCTCGGCTCACGCTGTTCCCTCCTCTTAGAATACCCTTTCTAGTCTGCCTGTCAGCCTCCCCCCTACTCCCCAAAGCCCCACTCAAATGCTGCGTCCACCACGAGGCACCCCTTGTTGCCCCAGCCTCTGCCACTGGAGCACCTGCTGGCAGCATTTATTCCATTTGGCCAGTTGTAGCCTGAGGCTGTACCTGCCTTCCCCCAGACTGAGCTTCTAGAAAGCAGAAATGGGTCTCACTCCTCTTTCTGCCACCCTCCCTACACCCAGCTGGGATACCTAGAGCAGGGTTTTTGCTAGGGTGAATTAAATTTAATGTGGCCCCTCTGCCTCCCCAGCACACAACACACACATACACACTGGCCTTCCCCCTCCCCCCCCAGGAGAAAGCAGAAGCCTGGACTCCCAGCTCAACCTGAGCCAAGGTGAGCAGCGGTCATGGCAGCCATCCTCCTGCCCGCAAGATGAGCAAACTCCAAATGTCCTCCTCTTGCTGGAGTTGCTGCCCTTCTGACCCAGCCCCTCCATAGGAAATCCTTCTCAGGCACCCCCAGACTCTTCTCCCTCCGCAGAAGTGGGGAACCGAATTACCACCACCTCCCGCTGCCCACCTCTGCACATTGCCCCTGGCCCTGGTCCTCTTCCAAGCCACCAGCTCTGGCACAGATTGGGACCAAAAGAGGGAGGGAAGCCGTGCTGAGAACTCTGTGCCAACAGCAGATCCATCCCCTGCGGGAACAGAAGCTGGGGGTGGGGGAGCAGCTTGCCGGAGAAACCGGAGAAACCGGAGAAACCGAGGGGCCGGCAGCTCCCTCAGTCAGGCAGATGGGGCTTCTAGGAGACCAAGCCAAGCACTCCTTCCTTCCTCTCCTCTCCTGCCCCCCACCGCGGCCGCCCCCCCACTCCCACCACCCTCCCCCGCCAGCAGCTCAGGAAAGGTCAGGCGCCTCAGAAACCTTTAATTCCATTTTAATGAGCTCTGGAGGAGTCCCACGGGCTCAGGAGGACCCACTCTTCATCTGCCCACGCCCCTTAGTCTGTGCCTTATTGAGGTGGTGCGGTGGAAGCGGACCCCCAATAGTGGCGATATGGGGGCGCTAACCCTCGGTTTCTAGGACAGGACAATGATTTTGAATGCCCACCTCCCGTATGGGAGAGCAGGAAAGAGAGGCTGAACCAGCTCCACCAGGCTCAGCCAAACCCTGCCTGTGGAGCAGAAACCCGATGAGCTCCGCCAGGGGGCAGCAGAGGGCAGGGGGCGTCTCGGCCTGGGTTCTCTGCCTGACTGCACCCCCCCAACCCCGCTCCCCTGCCCAGGCCTGGCATCCCCACTTCCCACAAAAGCCCCTTTCCCCTCCATCTCCCTCTCCAGGAAGACCGCCCTGGTCAGCCATGGGGCTGGATGCCTTCCCAGGCAGCCCCTCCGGGTGGGCCTCCCCCCCTCTTGCTCCTGAGTTCTGGCCACCGGAATCTGACTGAACTTCTCATACTATCTCTACTTGTCAGGGCCATGTCCATCCATCATTCCTCAGTGTCTTCCAGGCCCTCTGTGGACAAAGCTCTTGGCCCCCAACCCAGCTGGGAGGATGCCAAAGAGGAAGTAAGGTCAGGGTTGCACCAACAGCTCCATGGGGCTGAGAAGTGCAAAAGGGACTTGTACATGTCTCTGGAAGTTGCTGACTGGGCCAGTGACTGAGTCCTGCCCATTCAAGGTAGGGCAGAGTGCTGGGGTGTGGGAGAAGCCAGACTCCTCCTAGACCCCATTTCCTCAACCCCAGCCCGGCTTGCTGTAACACACACACACACACACACACACACACACACACACACACTCACACACACCCTAGACAGGCTCCATCCGCTATCCCTCCCTTGGTCTCCACTCCCCCATCCCACCCCACACTGTTCTTACCAAGATGACGGCTGCCACAGCCCCAGCCTCCTTGTCCACCAGCGGCATGACCAGCACTGAGGGGGAGAGGGCAATGAGGTGGTCCTGTGGGGCCAATGAGGCTCAGAGATATGGAGCCAAGCCCCAGGGTGGGGGAGACAAAGACACAGACAGAGAGGCCGGGACAGAGACACAGAAAGACCCAGAGACCCAGAGAGATGGGGGGTCCTGAGGCGGCAACAGAACAACCACAGCAATGTCCCCTGCATGGAAGGAAGCCCCCTCATGTTACAACTCTCCTGTGACCACCCCCAGCAACCCTGAGAGAGCAGGAGGCAGGTAAGGCTGAGCACCCCTATTTTACAGATTGGGAAACTGAGGTCCAGAAAGGGGAAGTGACTTGCCCAAGATCACACAGCAAGTCAGGTCTCCTGACTCCCAGTCTTGTGCACTTTCCACATCGAGACAGAGGACACAGACCTAGAGAGACTGAGACACGAGGCAGAGAGACATGGCGGACAGGGGGTGTGGAGAGGAAGAGAAAGAAAAATAGAGACAGTGACAGAGAAAGCATGACAACAACACAGCCCATCTAGCATGAGACACAAGCACGTGACCACCGCGGCCACTGGCCACTGAGCCCTAGTATGTGCCCGGCCTTTAACATGCGTTATCTCATTTGCTCCTCCTCAAAACACCCCCTCAAGGTAGGTTCTCTCATCCCCATTTTATAGATCAGAAAATCGAGGCTCAGAGAAGTTAGTAGCACAATAGAGAGAGAATTAGATGAGGGGATTGCTGAAGACACAGAGCAAGAGGAAGAAGGAGACAGAGAGATGAAGACAGGGATAGAAGACAGATGGGATCTGGGGAGCAGGGGCACGGTCCCTCCCTGCCCCTGCCCAGTTCCCAGTCCTTACCTTGGGTATCAGGAGCCAGTGGGGCCATCAGTCTGGCCAACGGCTTCCCCGGCAGGTCCGAGGGGCCCAGTCCATTGCAGCCCAACCGCTTCCGGGAGATCACAGCCTCTCTGAAAAGAGGATGTGATCCCACCTCTCAGTCCATGGATCAAAAAGGTGCAGGCCCCAACCTGGGGGCACACAGCAGGCTGGACTCTGCACATCTGCAAGGATCTAGACAAGCTGACCGGCCATAGGGGAAGAGACAGGAACCCTGACCTGTCATGTGGAAGAGGCAGGCAGCCACAGTCTGGCCTCTGGTGCCTCTTTGCTGGTGGGTATGCGAAAGTACCCTGGGGCCCCGTGCAGGTCCCCCAGGGCAAGTAAAGCAAGGGCTCAGAGCTTTACTTTAAAAGGTTGCCTCTTTTAAATCCTGCTGTGGCCACTACTTAACCTTGGGCAAGGGGCCTACCTCTCTGAGCCTCCCAGAGAGAAAGAGTGTGGAGAAGAGGAGAACCCTAACCAGCTCAATCCTCAGGAAAGCCATTCTACACACCTGAAACTAGTGTTACACTGCATGTCAACCATACTTTAATTAAAAGAAGCGGGGGGAAAACATTCTAGAGCAACTTTCAGCGCTAAGCACAGGAGGGAGGACTCCAGAGGTAATTGTCGTAACTAAAGTACCCTCCATTCCCTATGTGCCATGCACCATCCAAGCAACTCATAGAGATTGACTCAGAATTCCCAACAATCCTATGAATTAAATATTATCATCATTTCCATTTTCAGGCAGAGACACTAAGGCACTGGGAGTTAGGAACCTATCCAAGATCCCATGGTTAATAAGTGGTAGAGTCAGGATTTGAACCCAGGCAATTGGCACCAGAGCCCATACTCCTAACTGGCTGGTGTGTTTGAACCTTCCTAAAGACCTGAGGGGATGTGAGTTTCCAACGGGATTCGTATGAATGGGTGTAGGTGTGATGGAGGGGCAGCGGGTGGGGGTAGGTGATGTAGGAAGAATGAGTCTCTCTCTGCCCTCACTACACATACCACCCTACCCCCCCCCAACCCGCCTCTAGCTCTTCCTGCTGAATTAAATGCCTGATTTTTCACCAACTGTCACTCCGATGATTAATTGTCCTGGGTTCCTCATCCCTCACGCTGCCTCCACTTAATTGTGTTTGTAGGAACTGCCTGGCCTGAAGAGAAGCGAAGCCTTGGGGGGCTGGGACTCCAGTGTGTGCATGTGGGGTCACTAAGGGGAGCCAAGCAAAGGCCAGATGAGGAAAAGAGAGGAGGTGGCCTACAAGCCTCCTGATTAGGAGGTCACGGCCTCTAGAGAAATTGAGGACTAAGAGGTTGAGCTTCTTGGTAAAGTTCACGCCACATTCTGAACTGGATCCATTCACTCCTGGCCTCTTGGTTCAAAATCTACAAGACCCAGTGGGGTGTCCCACCTTCTAGCCCTCACACGCTGGGCTATTAGGCTCCGGGAGTGCTAGGCCCCAGCTCTGCCCTGTCCAACTGTGCCAATCACCCCAGGAAGGAATAGGAATCTAGGGTGGCAGGAGGGCAATGCAGCCATGGTCCTGGAGACTAAACTGATAAAGGTGGGGTCTTCATGGAGGCAGGGGCCAGGCCACCTGGAGGCAGGTGACCCTCAGCCAAACCCCTCTTGTCGAACTCACCCAGCCACTTGGCCTTGCACTGTCTGGTTACTGGGCAACCCCAAGGTGGCGCTGGTCCATCCGTTGTTGGTCAGTAACAGCTGTAGTTTCTCATCTCTCTGACCCCTGACATCCCTCCTCCCCCAACCCTGCCCCAACCAGGGGCTGGCTGCCTTGGCTTTGCCCTCTATCCCACACCCCAGGAACCTGATGAAGCCTTTCTTCTTTTCTGCACAAAACTCCCTCCTCTGTGCTCATGGCTCCATGACTCTCCAGTCCCAACTCTATGAGCTCCAGACCCCAGATACCCAAAGTCCTCCTGGAAGCCTGCCCTGGATGTCCCGAGGTTGTCAAAAGCACCCAGTCCCAACCTGAATTTATTCTCTCCACCACCAAAAAGTGGCACAACCATCCCCCGGGTCCCTTGTGGCTTGTCCACAAACTGTCCCAGCTACCTCCCTCTTCCTCACTTCCCCCATCCAATGAGTGAATCGCTTCCCATGCATCTCTCACAACTGTTCCCCATGGAATTAGTATCAGAGAAGGCTTCCTGGAGGAGGTGATGCTGAGTTGGGTCAAGGCAGGCAGGAAGGGATGTGCAAGCAGATGGAACTGCATGTGTAGAGGCTCAGAGGAGAGAAAGAACATGTGTCTGCCGGATGGCCCAACTGCAAGAAGATTAGTGTGTCTGGACGGCTTGGAGCGAGGCTGGAGAGAGCCCTGAGGCGCTGGGCATGATCCTGAGGGCAGTGGGAGCACCAGGAGGGACTTGAGTTGGGGAAAGTAAAGGTCAGGTTTGCTTTCAGGCGCATCAGTTTAGCTGCTGGGCAAAACTCTCACTACAGAGGGAGAATCTGAGAGACTGGAAACCTCTTGTAAGGGAGGGCCTCTGGTCTCAGTGGTCCCTGGTCAGCAGAGGAGAGGCGGGGCTTGGGCAGATCAACCTTGACTGAGCCCACATCTCTCACTGAACACTGGGGCCTCCCGGGGGGTTAAACCCTCAGAAATCCTTAACCTTGGCACCTTGCTGTGCAACCTGCCTTCCCTGGCCTGGCCACATCCCACAGTCCCAGGCAGGTCTGTGCCGGGCAATGCTCACCTCAGCCCACCCCCCATTCAAGCCCTTTTCCTCTGCTGCACCCTTCTCAGAACTGTTGTCCCCCTGGAAGTTTTAAAGACACCCACAGACTGGAAGGGGAAAGGGAGGGCCCAGGCTGAGTCTCCTCCACCTAGATGAGGGTGGGTGTTTGTCTACCCTCACACCCCAACGGCTCCTCCCTCAATTTAGGACCCTCTGCCCTGCCTCATCTCCCCTCCTGATGACTCCAGCCTCCTACCTCCACCTGCCAGGCTGATGGTGGGGGTGAGGGGACTCCACGCCAGGGGCCAGCTGTACAGGTTGAAGGCTAATGACTCAGCCCTGGTGCCTGGGTGGTCATGGCTGTCCCAGTGACGATAAAGACAGATGGGCACAGAGTGAGGAGAGGAACGGGCGTGTACTTTATGACGGTTCTGTTCCTTTAACAATTATTTGTTTAGTGGCAAGAGTGGAGAAAAAGGCTCTCTGTTGGTAGGGTCAATGGCCTGGAAAGAGCTGAGTGCCCAGGCCCCCTCCTCCTCCTCTGAGCCCCTTCTTTGGTGAGGTCCCATCCCCTTTACTGAGCACCCCCCCCCCCCACCTCCTAGGGCCTCAATCTCTCTCTGACCTTTCATCTCTCTAGGGGACAAATTATGATTCAGCCCAGAACCTGGACCCTCCCCTCCCCTTCCCTCTCCCAGAATGTGAGATTCCGGAGATGGGAAGAGACTATTTCCTGTGTCCTTTGAGACAAATCAGAGGAACACAGATTCTGCGGTAAAAGAGGACCAGGTCAGCTCTGAGGAAGGAATGTGTCAAGGTTGGGCCCTGGGACCCCCAAATGGTAGCAGAGGGAGACAAGCAGCTGGGGCGGGTGTGGGTGGTGTCCCCGTGGCAGCTGAAAGGCCCCAGACTCTGCCACACTCAGCATTGGGTCACGAGAGGCTTCAAGATGGCAGGAGACACAATAAGAAGGGGAAGGTGGCAGGGCTGGGGACTGAAATAGGCTGGGAGACTGAGGGGCCTCCAACAAGAGAGAGACGAAGACTTCCAGGAGGTTCTCCCCTCCAGTTCTTGGAATTCAGAGCTGGACCAGCCCTCAGACATTGTAGTGTCTTACTGTCTCCCAGGAGTGGACGGGGCCCAGCGCGATCTCAGGACACCCCCCCGGATCCCAGGTCTCCTGACTCCCAGCCCGTGTTTCTTCTTGTGGAAAGACCCATCCCTGAGGGAGGCTGTCATGGCCAGACACCTTTTCTGGAAATTGGATCTTCCTTAGTGTCAGGGAACTATGGAGCGGGCCTCCTAGAGCGCCTCCAGCTGGGCTGTGGGAGATTAGGGAAATGTGGCCCGTTGAGATGGAGCCACACAGGGAAGGGCTTTGCTAGGGACAAGAGGGCATGAGCCAGCACGAGGGGGGCAGGGAACCCAAAACACTTGGTGAGGATGAAACTGGGCACCTGCGAGCCCACAGGGGTAAGGGGGCAGTGGCAGGAGGGGCCTCCCCATTGTCCCTTGGATGTCTCCCCTGCCTCCCTCATACTTCCCTGAGCCCGTCCTCTGCCCCTTACCCCCGGGTCCTTATCTGTCTTTATGACCCGACTCTATTCACACCTGCTGCTGTTTGCCAGCCCTGCCAGCCCTCCAGGGTTTCCTGGAGCAGGGCCCCCTCCACTGGGCATCTGCCTCAGCCTCAGCCTGAGGCAGGTGCCCAGTGTGCTGCTGGGGCCAGAACTGCAAAGGTCACCATTGGAAGGACTCTGTACCAAGCCCCATCCATTTTATAGAAAAAGACTGAATGAAGCAAGAAGGGAAGTAATTTTCTCAAGGTCACCCAGATGGGGAAATTGAGACTTGGGGGTGGAGGGCAGCCAGCAACCACTGAGCTCTGACTGTGTACAGGGAACTGTGTATCCATTACTTCATGACACCAAAAGACAGGTCCTACTGTTATCTCTGTTTTAGGGATAAGAAAACAGGCTTGGAAGTGGACACAGGGAGGCAGCAATGGGGCCAGGGTAGGATCCAGGCCTATCTGACTCCCATTCCAGTGTTCTTCCCTCTTCCACATACCGAGCTAGGTCTTAGCCCTTGTCTAGGGGGTGGGCTCAACACCAGACACGGAGAGGGCAAGCATAGCACAGATTTCAGAAGACGGGACTGACCTCAACCTTCACCCCCTATCCTTACCAGATTGAAGGAGTTTTGATCTCTGTGTCCCCTGGGATGTGTACTGCCTCACCCCTCTTGCCCCTTACCAGCCTCTCCTCCTCTGACTTCTCTGATTTCTGAGCCCTGTCTCCCAGCAGGCACTCACCTCCCCATCTCCACTGAACTCTGGGCCAATTGCATTGGAACATTCACTTTTTAAAAAAAATTTTTTTTAATGTTTATTTATATCTGAGACAGAGAGAGAGAGAGAGAGAGAGAGAGAGAGAGAGAGAGAGAGAGCATGAGTGGGGGAGGGGCAGAGAGAGAGGGAGACACAGAATCCAAAGCAGGCTCCAGGCTCTGAGCTGTCAGCACAGAGCCCGACATGGGGCTCGAACCCACAAACTGTGAGATCGCGACCTGAGCTGGAGTCGGTGGCTCAACCGACTGAGCCACCCAGGCGCCTCAAGGAACATTCACTTTTAATTGCCTTTTATTTCTTTTTCTTCTTCCCTTCCCCTTCCCCTTCCCCTCCCCTTTCCCCTCCCCTCCCCCCATGCTCTCCCCTCCCCTCCCCTCTCCTCTCCTCTCCTTTTTCCTTTCCTCTCCTCTCCTCTCCTCTCCTCTCCTTTCCTTTCCCTCTCCCCATCCCCTCCCCTCCCATTCCCTTCTCTTTCCTTCTTGTTACTTTTTCCAAAAGCTTTACTGAGTCTGAAGTGGTTGTGGGGGCAGGGGGTCAGGGGATACTGAAAGAGCTGCTGATGCAAAAGATCTGAGACCCCTCCAAGATGCCTGGACCAAAGTCACCCCATCCACCCCCCTCACAGCAGAAAACCTAAGGGGAGCATTTGCAGGCTCAGAAGGGGCGGAGTAAACCCATCATGCTCCCCTCCTGCTTTCTGAGCCCATGATCCTGCAACCCTCTCCCAGGAAGGCCTTCCTGGGCCACTTTGAGGAAACTTCTTGGACGGAGCAAGCTCATATGAAGCAAAGTTCTTAGCAGTAGGTGTGCTGGCTCAGAGGAGAAAGGGGGTTATTACAGCATTCTTTTTCCTTAAGATTCCAAAGACCTTCCAGCCCTATTTTACAGTCTTACAGAAGGGACTGCAGAAGCCAGAGAAGGCATGGCCGGCTTGGTTCACAGAGTCCTTGAAGGGAGTTGTCAGGAGATAACTGAAGGGGACAGTGTCACTCACCGCCCACGCCATGGGGGAGCCAAATGGGAGAACCGGAGGTGGGAAAGCTCTTGGGTTGTTGGAGAGGCACCGGCCCCTTCCATGGGGAAGGGCTAGAGAGAGGCCAGCATCCAGGAATCCAGGGTCCCAAGTACCAGGAGGAGCCTCAAAACCACCCACATCCCTAGCCTCAGGAACCTCTGGCATCCCTAAACAGCAATTCTTTCCATGGCTTCTGTGAAAGGAGAGCGTCTCGCCAGTCTCAGCTACCACCTGAAAAAGCCACATTGCTGGACTGCTTGGCCTGTTGGAAAAGCCCTCCCCTTCTAGTAACACCCTCACTGGTGCCCACTGGGCCCTCAGCTCCCGGCCTAGTGCTCCCTGGGCCCATGATGGCCCTGCGGTGCTTACGAGGCAGTGACCATGTCCTCCGTGGCCTGCCTTCCTCTGGACCAGCACTCTTGCCTGTCAACACTTTCTCATCTGACAAGCTCCACTTCCCCTCGCTGTCTCCCAAATGGCCAGGAGCCAGGAGACGGTGTCCCAGGCCTGCCTCTGTCTCACACCAGGTATGTGGCCTTGGACACGTCTCACGATGTTTGCCCATCTGGAAGATAAGGAGGCTGAATTCAATAGGCTCAGAGGTATCAGGGGACCACAGAGCACTGAGCCCGATGTTCCTAAAGTCAGCGATTCCAACATTCTATCATAACAAAAGTAAAACCAGACCTTTAGCATTTCTTATGGATTCAGTTTTAAGTGCTGTGTTAAGCTCATTTAATTCACCCCCAACAACCCCATGAGATAAGTACTATTATTATTGCCATTTACAAACAAGAAAACGGAGGCACAGAGAGGTTGAGTACCTTGCCCTAGGCTATACAGCTAGTAAAAGGGAACTGGGATTTGAACCCAGGCAGTCAGGCTCAGAACCCACAGCAGGACACTGTCTCTGATCTCCTTCTCCCTGCTCTCACATACCGGGTTGACACCATGTGCTCCCGCAGGTCCAGCATTCTGTGATTCTGTGAGAACTTCCCAGGCAGTTCTCAGAGCCTGCTGGGTTCTAACTGATAAACTGCAGCCCTGACCTTCTGAGACTGGGCTCTGAGGAGGCTGCAGCAATTTAGAAGAGCTCTCCAGGTTTCTAAAAGAAAACCTACCAGTTGGCCCTTTCCCTGTGCTGTCCACTGCCCCAACACGAGAAAAGACACTGCTTCTCCCCTCTGGGGGGTGTCAGTGACCCAGCCAAGGAACCCCAGCTGGCAGGGAAGCTGAGGTCAAGGTCAGGTGGGGGAGATCAGACTGGATGACTTTGGAAGGTCCCCCAGGCCTGAGATCCTTGACTGTGCTAGAGGCAGTGGGGTGCAAAATGGCTCACCGGACTTTCCCCTCCTGGGGCAGCTCATGGGGGGGGTCCTCACACACCAGCCGGGACTCCCCATCCAGAAGGTAGGTGTAGACAGTCTCCTAGGACAGAAGGCACTCATGAGACCCTATATAGAGCCCTCCCAGCAGCCCTGTCCCAGCCCAGACATGGATCTGAGTGACAAGGTCACAGACCCTCTAGGAGTGGGATCAAGCATCTGTTTGTTTTTACTCCCCAGGTGATTCTAACATGTAGCCATGGTGGAAAAAGTCCCTTATGAACTTACACCTCGCCCTCTCCTCTTGGAGGGGGTTCTCTGGGCAGGCAGTGACCTGTGACCCTGCAGGCTTTCCTTGTCTATCACCCCAAATCCAAAGTGCTGGGGAAAGAGTCTGAAGGACTGAAGGTGCAGACAAATCTCACCCACCACCCACCTCAGTTTGCTGGGACTCTAGCCTCAGCAAACAACTGAGTGGTCTACGCAGGGCTAAATGCCAAGAGGGGCTCAGAACACCCTGGAAGAGTCCCTCCTACCTCAGAGACACAAGTAATTCTACAAGAAACCACACACTGTGACTCAAGCCAGAAGGACTTCCCGGAGGAAGTGACCTTACATCTGTAACTACAGTAAAAATGAAACACATTCTGGGAGTCGGTGAGGCACAAAGAGTGGCTTCTGGGCCAAGTAGCAGGCAGGCAGTGTAAAGAGCACAGAGCATTTATGGAACTGACAGGGGAGGCAGGGGACACAGGAGGTTGTCTTAGGGTCAGCAGGGCCTATAAACATTTGGAGGAGACTGCTGTGAGCCCTGAGAGAGAGGAGCAGGTGCGCATTTTGGAGTGATCACTCCCCAGAGTGAGATCAAAGCTCTCTTCGAAGCTTGTCAAGTCTTCAGCTTGTCAGTCTGCCTTCCCCAAGGGCCCAGAGCCATTTTGGCCTCGGTTGCAGGCCAGGTCTTGGCAGAAGTGGTTGCCCTCACGGCAACCCCACTGCCCCACGGGTGAAAAATCGACATCCCCTCCAAACAGGACTGGTCACCCCGAGGGATCCGTAACCAGCTCATTCAGCCCAGCCTCACTGAGCGCCCCACCGTGCACACTCTGGGTGCGGAGGGAGGGAGACCCAGAGGCTGGTGCTGTCCAGAAGACCCCGAGGGGTACCCATGCACCCAGGTAAGTATCCCGAGGGGCGCTGTTTTCTTGGTGCGGGCAGGCAGATCTCTCCTCTCTGCTGCGCTACCAGGGAGGGCTTCTGGAGGAGATGACACTGGAGCCAGGCACTGAAGGCCCACCCGTAGTAAGTGTGCCAGTAAGTGTGGAATCCCTCTCAGCTGAAGTAGCGGCCCTTCTGCCACTGTGGGTGTCCACAGTCCTGCCAGCCACTCTTGTTGTTTTTGGCTGCCCCCGCCCTCCCAGCCCCAGTTCCAGTCCTGCTTCCTGAGAACCTGAGCCAGTTCATTGGTGGTATGGGCTGGGGATGATAGGGCCTGAGAAGAGTGACAGAGGCAAGTCACAGGCCAGAACTGGAGGCCCCTCGTCCTCCAGGGTAAGGGTCTAGGCTGGGAGTTTAGGGATGGAGAAATCAGTGGGAGGGAGGCCTCTCCTCATCTATATCCAGCCTCCTTCTTGTCCTCCAATCCTTGCAGCAGCCTGGGAGGGGCCTGAGGGATTTGGCCCAAAGAGGTTAAGAGACCACCCGGCACACAGGGTCACACAGTGAGTCTTCCCGGGGCAGAGAGAGAGGTGGGTACACAAGGGGTGGGGAGCCTGGGAGGACAGATCCTCATCACTTCCGGATGTCCCTCTATCTCCCACCCCCTCACTCTCAGCCCTCTGGGTTAAAATTAGCTGAGTTTATTGGAGAGAAGGAGGGAACCATTTCAGACACATCAGCACCATCTGCATTCGGGGCTGCCTGCCACAATGGGTGCTGATGAGGGAGCCAGGTGCCAGAGGCTCTCCTCACCAAGGAGGAGTATGGAGACCCCTCCCCCAGCGCCCCACCCCTCCCTGGGGGCTGAGCAGACACCTCCATCTCCCTCCCTCCTCTGAGGACTGAGTAGACCGCCCATCTGTCCTTCCCCCCACCCCCACTCCACTCCCTGGGGGCAGACCAGACCCACCCCCTCCAGTCCCTGCCCCCATTCTCTGGGAGCAGACCAGACCTTCCATCTCACCCCATTTCCTGGGGGCAGAGCAGACCCTCCCATCTTCCCCTACTTCCTGGCAACAGGCCAGATGTCCCCTCCCCATCCCTGCCCCCACTGTCTGGGGGCAGACCGGACCTCTCACCTACCCATCTCTCCCTGGGTGCAGATCCTCCCATCTCCCCCCACTTCCTGGGGACAGGTCAGATGCTCCCCCCCATCCCTGCTCCCACTCCCTGGGGACAGACTAGACCTCTTGCCTACCCACCCCTCCCTGGGTGCAGATCACACCTCCCATCTCCCCACCCCTCCTGGGTGTGTGTTGGGGGGAGGGGAGGGACTGAGACCCTCCATGCAATTAAAGCAGGGCTGCCCAAAGTCAGGGCTTCCCTAGCTCATACAGGTCTCTTGGATGAGTTGAGGTAGACATGTCCCATTGTCCCAGGAACCTAACTGTCTGAACCACAGCTGTCTTCCAAGCCCCCAGCTTTGGAAATACAATTAATCCAGTACAGGGCATCTACACTGGCACAACCACCAGGCACCCTGCCTATGAAGATGTAGCCAGTCACCTCCTCTTACCCCTCCCAGGACAGTCTCAATGGCCACAGAGGGGCCCAGGGCAGCCTTGCAGATGCTGACCTGCTAACCTCTCCACCCCCTCCTTTCCAGATGTTTCTCCACCCCAGGCCAGATGTTGCTTCAGTCCTACCCTTCTCTGGGAGGATTTATTTTTGGGCTCAAACACACCACCCACTTCCTACCAATTTCACACTCAATAAAGCTCACTCATTAGCCCTCCTCCAGGGCTCTGAACTTCTAGAAGGTTTGAGAAGGCAGAGCAGAAGAGAGAGAATGGGGATGCTTAGGTGCCAATCCCCCTTTGTCCCTGTCATGCTGTGTGACCTTGGGTGAGGTGCCTTCCCTCTCTGGGGCTCTAGTGGTTCATCCATCAAGTAGATTCAGATATGATAGGCTTGCAGGGGTGGAGGTGGGGGTGGAGGATGTCACGTTTTGGCAGAGGCTGACTCTGGCTGGTGTCTAGAGTAGGGGAGAGGGGATTCCAAGCTGTGGGACCCAGTTGAGGCGTCTCTTCCTCCTGGAAGTCTTTAGTGCTCCTTTGGCAGGTTCAGACGGTGCTCCCCTTCCCCCCACTAGGCTGACAGCTGAGACAGTGCTGCTCCAGGTCTTCAGGGCAAGTTTACTTGTCCTACAGCCTAAGATGTGAGCAGTAGCCACTGGAGCCAGGTTGGGGAATGACTGGGGGGCAGCTCAGGAGGGGCGCAGTTCCCTTACCAAGGCACTCTGAGCCCAGACAACCAAGGGGACCAGGGCCCAAGCAGCCACCCTCCACCTGCCCCTAATCTGCAATCATCCATGGTATTGGGGCAGGTCAGAGAGAAGCCTAAAGGTTTCTAGAGGTCACCTTGTCCAGCTTCCGATCTCCAGGCAGGACACTTTAACTTCACACGACTCACTCAATAAAGCTGAGCCTCATTCTAGCACCTCTGGAATGGGATCTGGGATCAAGGAAGTTCTTCTGCATGTCTACCCTCAACCCCTCCAGCTATATATTTTAAAGCCCACTTGACTCCACTATGTTCTAGCTATTATCCTAGGAGAATCCTTTCCATTATCTGAGCCATGATCTTTCCAATGAAGTTCTAAGTCCCGTTCTGTCTCTGATATTCCAGAATTCCTATGTAAGTTCATTCTTTGGGACTTAGTTTCAGCCCTTCTCTTCCAGAATGCCCTCTCAGAACACTTACCCAAACCCTTCCCTTCCCTGCGAGAATCCTCTGGGCAGGGACCCTGCCTCTTCCTTCTCAACTCTGTGTGAGGTACACAGTAAGGAGCTGGGCAAAGATTTGGGAGGTGGGGAAAGTGTGGGGCAAGGCACCTACCACTTTGGGGAGCACAGCTGAAAGGGCCTCCTTGACAGCCCGCTGGAAGCCTGCGATGTGGATGACAGAGCCCAGGCTCAGCAAAGCATCCTGGAAGAGAGGAAAGGGCAGTGAGGGTTTTCTCCAGGCAGGCCAGGGCAGCCCCATCTGCCCAGACAGCTATGAGCACAAAGTCCCAGCTTAAACCAGAGCCCAAGTCTCTCAGACACTTAAATCCCAGGATCTCAAAATCTCAGAATCCAACAAGTCTTACGACCCTAGAGTATCCAGGTCCACTCATCTTACAGATGGGAAAAGGGGGCTCAGAGAAGGGCCAGGGGCTTAACATGCTCACAGTGAGTCAAGAGGTCAAGTTTAGATTAGCTCCCAGGCCTCTTGTCCTTTAGCCAAGGACAACTCTGGCATAGTAGGGAAAAGCACAATCTTCCATATTAAAACAAAGCAAAACAAGCAAACAAATAAAACCTCAGTTTGAATCCTGGGAGCTAGCGAGAGCCCATGGGGTGCATGAGCCCACAAGGTGAGAGAAATACAGTTGGGCCAGCCCCTGGCAAGATAGTGGGGGAAGAAGTCAGCCTTGACTGCCTCACAGCTTTCCCATCCCAGGAACAGGCCTTGTCCTTGGAGAGCCGGAACAGAAGAAAGGTCCACGCTTCTCACTCTATTAACTTGGCCAAGCCACAGGGATCAAAAAGAAAGGTAATGGAACAGGGGATCCAGGGCCAAGGCAGGCTCATGACTCATACCGTCCACTCAGCCATGCCCTCCCCACAAGCCCTTGAAGTTCCTTTCTGTGGATGGCTGGGTCTGTGTTCAAAAAGCAAAATGGTTAACTGTAGGAGGAAGGCGACATGGCTTGGCCCCCATTCATATAAAAAAGTTACGGGGTTGAGGGTCTTAGTGAACCACAAACTCAGTCTGAGCCCATAGTGTATGTGTGGCTGGTAATAAATTAAAATGCTGACACTGCAGGCCATATTAATAAAGATCTGTTATCCCAAATAGGGAAGATGACAGTTCTCCCACCTCTATTGGCTGATTAGATCATCCCCAGCGCATTGTGTCCCTCCCAAGTGAGGACAAGATGAGACTCATTCACAGGTGATCCATGTAAGGAGGGAACTAGAAACCAAGTTTTGCATGTGCCTGAGACTGGAGAGTCTGGGGATGCCCAGCCTACAGCAGAGCAGACCCATGGGTCACAATCTTTGACTCCAAATCTGTCAGGCTTTCCTGAGCAGGGGACGGGACTCCGTGGCCCCAGGGACAGCCTGGAGACCCATAGGTTTGAAAGAGGCTGGCCTTGACCCAATGGGATGAAGGACTTTTATCTACGCAGAGCCATGCTACATAGGCATCGGCCACCAGGAGACAAGGAGGAAGTAAGCTGCCTATCCCTAAGGGTGTGAAAGAATGGACGAAGTGCCCATCTTTCAGAGAGGCCACAGATGGGAGTCCTGTACCGGGGTCCAGGCTTCAGCTACAGGTTTCACCCTTGCATGTTCTTGGCTTCGGTTTTCTCCCTCATTCCCATGGCCACCCAGTCCTGTTTCCACGAATGGGCGGCAGGGGTGGACTCGCTCCCTGAATGCTCACTTGGCATTGCTGTCCCCAAACCCCAGCCTCCCTCTGATCCCTCCCACTGCTCAAGAATGAAGACACATCTTGGTCACAGAGATCCATTTCTGCTGTTGGACATCAGAAGCTGCTGATTCCAAACATTATAATCCCCAAATTGGGTTAATTGTCCTTTAACCCTTAGGCACTCCTCATCCCAGTTCACACACTCTCAGCACCACCTATACCCGGCCACACAGCCACAGATTTCCACATCTCTGCAGGAATACCCAACATGCCTTCAGATACCTCCAGGCACACACACAGGTGCAGCTACTTCCTTATGTGTTCACAGGGCCAGGACTTAGTAACAGCTGCACACACAATATACACATAAGCTGGCGTGGCCTTTCGAGGTCAATTCTGCAGACTAAAGAAGGGAGAAAGGGCTCATGTCCCAAATAATCTCCAAATTAAGTCTGCCAACCCAGGCTCCTCAGGCTGAGGCTCCCAGGGCAGGACCCCAGAAGGTGGTGCTGATTTAGGTCTGTTCCTGCCTGGAGGTGGGGGGATTAGGAGGTGGAGGGTAGTCGAGCTGAGCCCTGTGGGGCCTTGACCTCCAGTGCAGTTTGATTAAGTATATGCCATAGAAGTTAGAGAAGTGGGGCCAAGCTCTGCTATGGGGGCAGAAACTCTTCAAAGCCATAATCTCGGGACAGCTAAGTCTTCCCATTTGACAGATGAGGAAACCAAGACTCAAAGAGAAGGAATGTCCCATTGGTGGTCAGCCAGCCCATCAGGCAGCACCAGGTCCACAGCACAAGTCTCTGCCTGTCCAGCCCCAGTCTGGCTCCTGCTCTGCACCCGCCCCCCAGCTCCCTTCCCAGGGGGCTTAGAGAGAATAGTCTGTCCTTTGTTCCAATTGGTGGGCACCTCCACCTGCCCTTTACTGGGATTGGGGAATGCCCTGACCTGTCCTTTACTGGAATTGGTGGGTGCCCGTCTGGCCTTTGTTCAGATTGGTCAGCTTTCTGTGACTTTTCAGACGAAGGGCAGGATAATGGTGGTGACGGGGGCACAGGAAAGGAAAGTTGGGGCAGCAGCAGAAAGGGGCTTCACATCCTTGGCCATCGTCCTTGGCCAGAGTGGGCAGGAAGCAGACATGGCTGATGAAGCCTGAGGCTCTCTGCCTGGCATCCTTCTGTCCATCTGCCTCCTGGCCCAGCCCTGCCCAGCCTGCCCCAGGAGGGGGGGTGCTGGGAAGACCACTTTCATACCTGACTCTCAAAGGGGCCTTCAAGCTTGCTCGAATGCCACCTCCTCCCTGTATCCTTCCCAGATCTCCAAGCAACTTCACCTCCACTGCATCAACTCAGGGAAGGAAATAGCTCAAATTCCAAAGCCCATGATGCAAAGGACTCAGAGAGCAAAGTGGCTGCCTCCGTGAAGGGAGAATCAGTGGAGCAGCTGAGAATGCACACGCCTCTGTCCAACACGCATGCACACAGCTTCACACAAACAAGCACGCACATAGATAAAAACACAGCCATATATATAATGCACACACACGCACACACACACAGAGCCCAGGCTCAGAGTGGAGTGAAGGAGGTCACATTTCCTGCCCTCTCAGTTTTTTTTTTTTTTGAACAAACACCAATATAAATATCAGCATAACAACCAGGCAATTTCCCAGACCCCAGGGGAGAGTTTGTGGTGTGTAGAAAACAGCAGCAATTTCCAGTCCTGTCCCAGATTGACTACAGAAACTCTGTGGCCTTAGCAGGCCCCTTTCTTCTGAGTCTCAGCTTTCTCATTAGTAAAAATGGGTCCTTCCAGCTCTGCACATATAGTTCTATGGTTTTGTAGTTTAACACGTTGTGGATGGATGGATGGATGGACGGAGCCTCCCTGCTTTCGCTGGCTTCCTACCTGCAACTCTGTGGTTGGAGATAGGGCCAGTCAGCACTGTAGACAAGTGCTGCTCTGGGAGCACTAGTCTTTCAACCCAGGTACCAAGAAAGGGGAGTCTGTTATGAGTCAGGGCTCCTGCGGAGCCAGTAGTGTGGCTAGATCGGCATCTCTATACTTGTTTGAGCAGGGGAAGGGTCTAGACTAAATTACTTCTGATTCCTTCTTAGTGCCTAGGATTGTAAAAGCCAGAGACCTTGGCCTTAGCCCTTCTGGTGCTACCTGTGCAGAGACTGATACCCATCCTGAGGGTCAGCATCACTGTCACAAGCTGTCCTCCTCTCTCATCTTCATGAGTCTCTAGGTCTTTTCCCACCACTTTAGACCCTTCTATTGCTCTCCCCACTGCCTGGAACCTAGAGCCTACCTCTCCCTCTGTGGAAGGAAGCCTCACAGTGCCCCTCTTGGTGGCCTACAAGGTAATAGCATCAAACCCAACGGCCAAGTCCCTCCTAAGACTCAAGTTGTATTACTGGGACTGGCCATAAGGACTGATTCATCTAAATCTGCTTGTGCTAGGTCTCCTTTGTGGCCTGGGGGGGGGGGGGATGTGTCTCTGTGGGCCTCGGTATCCCCTTCTCTGAAGCATGGGTGTTCTTTAAGATCCCCAGGGCCTTGGAGCCCCTCTTTGCTTCTATCCTTCTTTCTTTCCCTCTGGGCTGTGTGTGTCTCTCAGGCCCTGTCTCTCCCAATCTCTCTAAGTGGATCTCTCTTCTCTCCATGCCTCCCGTAGTTGATGCCCATTTCTGTCACAGGCTGCTCTCCTGTCATAGCCCCATGAGGGTCAACATCTTTTCCCACCCCAAGTCTTCTCTCCTCTCAGATGGCTTCTCTTCCCATCTCTCCCCTGCACACTCCAGCCCCCACCCACTCCTCCTGCAAAACCTCCAAGCAGTCCCCCTTGAGAACTTCGGGAGAGAGCACCTGACCCATGATGGGTACCCACAGAATGGGAGGGACCCAGGGAGACAGCCCAAGATGGGGGAAATCAGGGGTGCCAGGGCAGATGCCATCTACATTCTCCTGCTTCCTGACCCCTGTTTTGGTGATCTATATATACAGTCTCTTATTTTCCTGGACAATGGGGCCCTTCTAGGGCAAAGAAGAATTTGTCCATCTCTGTGCCCAGCACGGACAAGCCGAGCTGCCGTATGAGGGTGACTGACAGAACTCCCCAGAGGAAGCCTCCCAGGGGTTCAGAGCATGGAAGCCCCCTTTGGCTGGGCCTCAGACCCCAGCCTGGGCTCCAGCACCCCAGCCTGACTCTGCGGCTCCCCACAGGTGCCCAGCCCTGCAGAGTTAAGAGATGTCAAGGAAGAACAAGAGGCAGGCCCTCCTCCCTTCTTCCGCTTCTACCCATGCCTGCCGCCTGCCCAAGGAACCGCCTCTAACAGACACTCATGCCTCAAATACTCACAGAAGAGCTGCACCTTGGATGCTAGGTCTTGTACCCCCAGACCTCCCTTAACAAGCCTGAGCTGGGTCAGGAGCAAGGGAATAGGGAAAAGAGGCTTGGTGATCATTGGGAGACCTGATCAGAAGGAAGAGGCAGGACAGAGACC